CCGGCCTTCTTCGCAAGCTTCTGGTTTATGGAATTTCAGGTCGATTGTTTGACTTAATACAATAATTCCTGTCAAACCGTGAATTGAAGGTCGTTCTCAACGGATTCTCCTCCAGCTCCTATCCCACGAACCCAGGTTTTCCCAAGGCTCTATCCTAGGCCCTACTCTGTTCCTTATCTTCATTAACGATCTTCCTTATTTCATAAGTTTCCAAGTAGGCATCTACGCAGACGACACTACTATTTACTCCTGCCTCAAAAACAAATCTAGTGTCGCTGACAAAACTAACCTGACCGTTTGTCTCGAAAAGGACCTCCAATCGGGGCAGGATTTGGCTGGTTAATTTTAATGCCTCAAAAACAAAACTTCTCTCTATTACTCACCACAGAGATCCTTCCCTGCCCCCCCCCTTAGAATGTTTGACGCTCAACTCCACGAAAGCGCCTCTTTGCAACTGCTCGGTCTCACACTGTGTGCTGACCTGAGATGGAACAAATACATTGAATCAATAGCTTTGTTCACCGCAAGGAAAGTTGGCTTCCTGTGCTGCACCAGGAAATTTTTCTCGCCGGAGTCAATCCTTCAAATCTAAAAATCAAACATTCGCTCTTTCATGGAGTATTGCTGCCATATATGGTCTGGAGTCGCTTCTGTTTGTCTGAAGGCCCTTGATAAGATCCAGAGACAGATATGCAATGTAATTGGCTCTGATCTGGCATCTCGTCTGCAGTCGCGATCTCACAGACGTGCCGTCGCCTCCCTCTGTCTCTTTTACAAATACTTTCACGGTAACTGCTCCAATGAGCTGCTTTCGCTGGTTCCCAGACTTCATGAATTTAAGCGTTCAACTAGGCTGGCATCTCGCTCTCACCCTTTCACTGTCGAAACTGTTAAATATAGCCGTCTCTTCTACTCCAATAGCTTCATGTCTCGCACTTCTCGCCTGTGGAACTCCCTTCCCTCTTCTTGTTTCCCTGATAGCTATAATCTTCAACTATTCAAATGTAGTGTCAATCGACGTCTCCAGATGCCCTGATCTATCTCCTATCCTTCTCTTCATCCTTTCGTCTATCACTCCTATTTGCTCTCGCTCCAATTCTCTGTAAACCCTTGCGTGCTAGAGGCTTCCCGCAATGCTTGCAATGCCTTGCAGCTCCTAACAAATTTCTTCCCCCAGCTTCCTCTCCCAGAGCACGTTCTGTCATCCAATTGCTTAATTCTGACAGGTATGACACGCGTTTTCCCCTTTTCTCTCTTTCCCTCTATTCGACCTGTGAGTATCAGATCCTCTAGGCTCTCCTTCCTCATTATGTGTTCCAAAAACTTCAGCTGCCTGTTCCTGATATAAAGTACTACCCTCTTCCTTGTTTGCAACCTCTCTAACACCTCATCGTTACTCATACGCTTGGTCCATGATATCCTTATCATCCTTCTGTAGAATCACATCTCTGCCGCCTCGAGTCTCTTCTTCATCTTTGAGGAAATTGTCCAACATTCGCTGTCGTAAAGGAGGACAGATGTCACGTAGCAGCTCAGTATTCTTTTCTTTGTTACCAAAGAAATCCTCCTGTCTCGCAATACTCTGCCCAGCTTTTGGAATGTGTCCTTGTCAATCCCAATACGTCTACGGATCTCAGTGTCGCACTTACCGTCCTCTGACATTTAAACTTCCGAGTCTGCTTGATTCTAGTGTCCCCGACCTGAAAATCGCATTTCGGGCTCATCCTTTTACTGATGACCATTCATTCTGTCTTCTTGTAGTTTATACTTAGTCCCTTCTTCACATTCTCTGTTGCTACCTTCTGTAGGAGATTTTGTAATTTCTTTTTCACCATAGTATGTGCTTTTAACTTAATTACTAGTAATTTTTTTTTCATTTTCTGTATATATATATATATATATATATATATATATATATATATATATATATATATATGTATAAATTACCTGATTTAAAATATAGTTTTTACGCTACACAGTAATAACCATGTTTCAAAAATGGAAGCTAAAAAGTTTAAATTTAATTATATAATTAAATTAAAAGCATTAATTCCGTTTCATCTTCAAGCAAATATTGGAATAACTTACTTTTAAATTTACTAATTTTTAAACGCAGATATAAATTCATAATTTCCTGTTTCCAAGGATACAGAGAAATCCAATCATTCAGGCAGGGGCGGTTGTGTGTTCATTTTTTTAAACTATTGTTATATCAATTATGAGTTACGTTCGAAAAAGAGGTTAAGTTTAGGGAGGGTAGGGGTGTATTTTCCAACGAATTCTGACACCCATTAAACGTCTGTTGTCTGGGTTTTTTTATTATTATTAACGGCAATTTATGGTCTGTAAATTTACACTGAGCACTGTTTTGTAAAAATAAAAATATCAATAAGAACACCGGATTATATATCTTACTGTTCTTTATATATATATATATATATATATATATATATATATATATATATATACTACTGTGTCAAATATTAACAGAAAGTTTAAAACAAAGAAAGGGTCAGAATATATATATATATATATATATATATATATATATATATATATATATATATATATATATATATAGTTGTATGGATATGAGTTTATAATCCTGGGTTTTACGTTTTTGCGATCATCAGACAAACTGATTTATTTTTTTAAATTTGAAGCGTATGTATACGTGCTGAACACATGGATACTTGTCTGCGCCTTGTTCCACATTTTTCATATATGTATGTGTTTGTGTAAACATAATACGTACACCTGTATGCATGTATATCTGCGTGCGTATCAGTGTCATTCCGCTAGTGATTTACAAAGGAGGCCACATATGGAACAAGAGTGAGAATTAATGAGAATGATCACTGTTAGATTGACTGACCTTTTAGATCTTGCTCTCGCTTCTTGAAGATGATTCAGACAAGCAGATTGAAAACTGCTGAGTCCACTAAAACACGTTGATCTCCATTCTACCCGCTCCAAGGCTAAGCGCTCAAGGGTGTTATGTGGTATATTGACAGCTGACAAGAATATATATATATGTGTGTGTGTGTGTGTGTGTGTGTGTGTGTGTGTGTGTGTGTGTGCATGCTAACATCTGCATAAATTAGTTGCACATTAATTTATTAATTCTCGAGGCCCTATAATTAATGGGGAATTTTCTATCGTGGGTTACTGACAGTGGAGTCTATTTACATTCTACCGTCCTGGGTATGACGATAAACTACATCTGCGTCCAGGGTAAGACGATAAACCACGCCCAACAGCAAGGCCTCTCTTCAGGTTTTGAGGAGCGTGGAACCACCTCTTAATTTCGGGTGTTCCCAGGTACACCCTGACCCGGGGTGGTAGCATCTGTTAGGGTCCCAGATATGGGCAAATAGTTAATACCCAAAAATGGGTCAAAATCCTATGAAAGTGTGAAAATAGGTTTTAATACCAGAAATACTTTGTAAAAAAATTATTACTAGCAATATATTTTTGAAAATATTACCGGCAATAAAAATCTTGCCGGTATTAAATAACCAATTAAGGTTGATATACCGTAAAACAAGCCAAACTAACCAAACTATCCACATTCTAAGAGGGGATAGTGAGACTTATAGAAAGTTAAAGCATTTATATTTTAAAGCTCTCTAGCTGTTTCACACTGGCTGTCCATAACCCTACCTCCGATCCATCATGCTTCTTCTTTGTAAGCGTGATTTTTTTTACTCTTGTATAAATAACTTGCGCTTTGTGGGCACCCAACCTTATAACCATCTACTAATTCAAATGGGACTAAGGCATGCACATGCGTCCCTGAGCAACCCTCGTTATCTCCCAACCACCATTTTCCCCATTGGGTCTCTAAGTTCTCAAGTATATAAGATAGCTTTTTTCGGTGCCTTGAGGTCTCAGACTGCTATAATGTTTCTTGACCCAAGGAGGAGTTCTGTGGCTTGCTTCTGGGTTGGTTGTCCCTTCATTAAGGGTGCTGGAGTTAGACGTTTTCTGGGTCTTAGCATTATCTGCCGGATAGTCACGGATCTGAACCTTCAAGTAACTCTGAAGGAGGCTATCCTATCAGTAGGTATATAATGTCGGGGCTACGGTACTGCCATTTTGTGAATGGTTTCTCGACTGTGCAGTAGTCTTTTTGGTGGTACTCACAATGCAATGACGAAGAGCACTGCTATGGCTGTATTTCGCGATTATTCTCTCCAGGATACTTATGCATCCAACCCCTGCAGGGATGGGTGTGTATCTCTCTGCCTACTAGTCTTCCAACAACCAATGCACACATGAATCCAATTAACATACAAATGAACAAAACTATCAAACCCAACCTAAAAAAAAAATAAAAATAAAAATAAAATAAAGTAGACCCCCCCTCGTATACTATCTCCTAGAATAAGGTCAGGGGTCTATTTTCCACCTTTCCAGAAGTGTAACAACAACATCTCCAAACTAAACCAGACTTCATGCTACTTTCTGAAACCGGTATCACCGCCTCATGAGCACGAGCGGAGTTCAGTCCCGGGCTACTCACCTCTTATAGGCAAACATGACCACCTAAATCGTCACGGCCGCGGACTCGGAGCCTACATCACGGACGAGTTGATTGGGCTCTTGTAATTTGAAGAGAAAATAATTACATAATCAAGATGTTGATATTCCACACTACTTCAAACAAAAGGTTAGGAAGGAAACCTCCCTTCAATACTAGAAAGAGGGATAATATTGAACTTAAGAAACATAATTTTCTGAATAACTGCTTTAAGAAAATTTTTTATAAATT